ATAGCAACACAGTGAGGATGGAAAACAGCTGAATAGCTCCCTCTCAGGACCAGTTAAACAGCAGATACTGGATACCACCCACGGAACCACCAATGAACATGGGGATTAGCCCTATTTAAAGAGGACTCAGGGATGGGGGGAATAGGATGGTTTTTTATATACTGTAATTGTATATTGATTTTATTTGTTATATACGGTCCCTGATGAAGTTCTTTGCAGAACGAAACGCGTAGGACCATACCGTTCTTTTTATTATATCTTATATTGATGGTGAATATTCACCTTTTATTAATAAATACATCTCTTTTCTACCATTACCTGCTTGGAGTCCTGAGCATTATTAAGGAAGCCTATAAGGAGCCAAGGGATTACCAACCCCCCATTCCACTAGGGTAGGCACCCTATGAGCGATATATTCTACTTCATTCTGTGAGTGCATTTGTATTCAGCGGAAAACAATGTGTTAATTGTACTTCACTATTTTGTGTATATTTTTCATGTTCCTTTTAGATTAATTTTCCAGCCGTATCCCGAAGTTCTGTGTTGCTTGTGGTAATATATCATATTGTGTGCATGTTTGTTTGTTTTTTTCTTTCTATTTTGCTAAATTCTGTACTATAAGCCTCCCTCATACATCTTGAAAAGAAAAGAAAAATATTTCCTAAAAACACCCAAATACATAGTAAGTGCATCAGTATGTGTCTGCTACTCATCACTGTATGTGGCAAGTGGGCAAAGGAAAGCATCCAAATTAACCAAACATTACTTTCAACGGGTGGGGACATGAAGGGGAAAACAGAATGTAAGGGAATCATATGGTTACTTCTGTTTGCCCTGCACACTGTTCAGGTGTTCTTTGAACAAATAATGTCTGATATTGTCTGGACTAACTACAGATGTAAAGATTTGTTTAAAAAAAATATTATACACATTCTTACCTTCTTTTTGGATCAAAAGCAAAAAACAGATGTGATTAAGGCTGAACTTGATGGACACATGTCCTTTTCAGCCTATGTAACTATATATATATATATATATATTTTAAGGAACACTTCAAGCAGTGGCTAGATAATTGGTTAAAAGCGGCAGCAGATCACTCTCAACCAATGAGCTAAGCCATGCACCACCAGGCTTAGCTCAGATACTAAACGTCACGTTTTTTGGCAATGTAATGGATGTGGGGAGCAGTGCCCAAAGGACCACAGGTAAGAACTCAAACTGGTTTAAAACATTCGTCTACTTATGATGTAACATTATTGTCATTAGTTTATTGAATAACCCTATGTGATTAGTGGAACTGCAGATGGAGGATAAATTACATATCTCAAAGACCCCTCTTGGATAGAAGTTTATGGGATCATAACAGACAAGAATAAGAGTCTACTGATTGGTGAAGTTTCTTCATGATCAGGGAGTGGCCTATCTGTATCTGCAGATAGTCTCTTTTTAATTTTCATATAATGCATTATAACACAGGCAGTCATTTTTTTGCCAGCAGTTTCCATTTGAAAGGCCACGGTCATGCCCAACACGACAGAATCTTAATTTTTTCCATATGTTGCAAAAGTTATTATTAGTTGTTTTTTTAAAGCAAGCTGTACTGGGAAAATAAAGTTGGACAATTTTTTTAAAATTCTGCTACCTTGTATACTTCCGTGTCAATTCTCCACAGTTCCTTATATAGTGAATAAAACCCTTCAGATTTTTTTGGCTTCCTACTAGACTAAATATATCATGTACTATACCAGCTTTGCTGCCATGTGAGCAAGGCGGTATGTGCCATGCTCAGTTTTTGATATCCATGCCGTGTGTGCCATGCATAGTATATTGCCACACTGTATGCCCAACGCACAGTTTTTGATAGCCACGCTGTGCGTGCCAAGCTGTTTCTGATAGCCATGCTGTGCGTGCCACGCTCAGTTTTTAAAAGCCACGCTGTGCGCGCCACGCTCAGTTTTTGATAGCCGCGCTGTGCGCGCCACGCTCAGTTTTTGATAGCCGCGCTGTGCGCGCCACGCTCAGTTTTTGATAGCCGCGCTGTGCGCGCCACGCTCAGTTTTTGATAGCCACGCTGTGCAGGACACGCTCAGTTTTTGATAGCCACGCTGTGCGGGACACGCTCAGTTTTTGATAGCCACGCTGTGCAGGACACGCTCAGTTTTTGATAGCCACGCTGTGTGCGCCACGCTCAGTTTGATAGCCACGCTGTGTGCGCCACGCTTAGTTTTTAATAGCCACGCTGTGTGCGCTAGGGATCGACCGATATTGATTTTTTAGAGCCGATACCGATATTCTGTGAACTTTCAGGCCGATAGCCGATATAATTTGCCGATATTCTGTACATTTACCATTTTGGAAAATAAAAACTATTTCTAAAGGTAAACGCACAAAATATACATGCCACGTGTAGTGGATGCAGTGTGACAGGGGAGCTGTGTGTGTTTGTGTAGTGTGTGTAGAGGATGCAGTGTGTGTTTGTGTAGTGTGTGTTGTGGATGCATTGTGTGTTTGTGTAGTGTGTGTGGAGGATGCAATGTGTGTTTGTGTAGTGGATGCAGTGTGTATTAGTGTAGTGTGTATATAATGAAAGCAGAGTGTTTGTGTAGTGTGTGGGTAGTGTGCGTAAAGTGAATGCTGTATATACTAAATGCAAAGTGTGTGTGTATATAATGAATGCAGAGTGTGTGTGTATTTTTGTAGTGTCTGTATAGTGAATGTAGTGTGTGTGTTTGTATAGTGTGTGTGTATATAATGCAGTGTGTTTGTGTAGTGTGCATTATATAAACACACTGCATTATATACACACACTATGCAAACACACTGTGTGTGTGTGTATATAATGCAGTGTGTGTTTGTATAGTGTGTGTATATAATGCAGTGTGTGTTTGTAAAGTGTGTGTGTGTGTGTGTGTTTGTATACAATGCACACAAATACACTGCATTATATACACATTATACAAACACACACTGCATTATATACACACACTATACAAACACACTGTGTATATAATGCAGTGTGTGTGTGTTTGTATAGTGTGTGTATATAATGCAGTGTATTTGTGTGCATTGTATACAAACACACACACACACACACTTTACAAACACACACACTGCATTATATACACAGTGTGTTTGTGTAGTGTATGTGTATATAATGGAGTGTGTGAGGGGGCATTTTTTATTAAATTATTATTATTATTTTTATATTTAATTAATTATTATTTATTTTTGTTGTCCCCCCTCCCTGCTTGTTGCCTGGCCAGGGAGGGGGGATATAGCAGTCCTGGTGGTCCAGTGGTATTGGCTGAGCTGCGGGGGGGGCAGAGAGCAAGCGATTACTCACCTCCCAGCAGCTCCTCCAGCTCCCCAGTGCAACTCTCGCGGCCAGCGTGTCACGCGGAGCGTTGCCATGGTGATCCATGGCAACGCTCTGACGGCCGCGGGTCTCGCGAGAGTTACACTGGGGAGCTGGAGGAGCTGCTGGGAGGTGAGTAATCGCTTGCTCTCTGCCCCCCCCCCCAGGACCGCCGGGCTTGTAATGAGCCTGGCGGTCCTAGGAGGTATTATCGGCAATATCGGTATCTGAATTGGCCGATACCGATATTGCCGAGAATACCGAATATCGGCCGATTATATCGGTAAAACCGATAATCGGTCGATCCCTAGTGTGCGCCACGCTTAGTTTTTAATAGTCACGCTGTGTACGCCACGCTTAGTTTTTAATAGTCACGCTGTGTGCGCCACGCTTAGTTTTTAATAGTCACGCTGTGTGCGCCACGCTTAGTTTTTAATAGTCACGCTGTGTGCGCCACACTTAGTTTAAGTCACGCTGTGTGCGCCATGCTTGGTTTTTAAGTCACGCTGTGTGCGCCACGCTTAGTTTTTAATAGTCACGCTGTGTGCGCCACGCTTAGTTTTTAATAGTCACGCTGTGTGCGCCACGCTTAGTTTTTAATAGTCACGCTGTGTGCACCATGCTTGGTTTTTAAGTCACACTGTGTGTGCCATGCTTAGTTATTAATAGTCACGCTGTGTGCGCCACACTTAGTTTAAGTCACGCTGTGTGCGCCATGCTTGGTTTTTAAGTCACGCTGTGTGCGCCACGCTTAGTTTTTAATAGTCACGCTGTGCGCGCCACGCTTAGTTTTTAATAGTCACGCTGTGTGCGCCACGCTTAGTTTTTAATAGTCACGCTGTGCATGCGCCACGCTTAGTAGTTTTAATAGTCACGCTGTGTGCGTCACGCTTAGTTTTTAATAGTCACGCTGTGTGCGCCATGCTTAGTTTTTAATAGTCACGCTGTGTGCGCCACGCTTAGTTTTTAATAGTCACTCTGTGTGCGCCATGCTTAGTTTTTGATAGCCACGCTGTGTGCGTCATACTGTCAGGGTTACTCAATAAAGTTAGCAAATTAAAAGTGAATTCCAATTTTTAGGCCAAAATTGCTTTAGACACTGAACTGGAGACTTTTCCAATTTCAACTATAATTAGAAAATTCACTTTAAATTCACAGCAGTTCGAACTTTAGTAAATAAGCCTGTGTGAGAGCCATAGAGTCACATTGTTTCTACATTATATACATGCCACACAGTCATAAAGCATTCTCCCCGCTCAGTTACGCCGTATTTACCATGATGGCGGCTCTGGCTGAGTTTCCCCTCTCTCTATCCCGGATTGACCCGCTGCTCGCTCTCCCTCCTCTCTCTATGGCACTCAGACGTGGCAGCTCCCGGCTGCTCCCAATAGACCTCAGCAGCAAGTACTTCCGGCTGTTCAGCTCGACTTCCGGTTCGGGCTAAACTGTGCTACCGGTATATTGGTTCCGGCACTCCTCCAGTCCGGGTTGGAATGTGAAACCCAGATTGAAAGAAAGCTGTCAGATTCTGCATAGGGCTCCACACAGGGTCCAACATAACTGAGCCTCTCCTCCCTAGGGGATTAGGATATTTATTTTGAAAGAGAATAGATTAAATCTTAAATTAAGTAAATGTAGAAAAAAAAAATGAGAATAACTCATCCCTATGGTGGTATAAATTGAAGTGGTCTGAGTGCACTGTCCCTGTCCCCCATAGTCTATCAGACAGCCACTAGAGGCGCTTCCTGGACTCTAACAGATTGTGACTCCGTTAAACGATGCTGGACGCCATCGCACTCTGCATGAGGACATCCAGCGTCCGTGAAGACCCCATAGGAGAGCATTAAGGTAATGCTTTCCTATAGGGAGGGCGTATGAGCGCTAGGTCCCCGTCAGATAACGTTGGAGAGGGAAGAGTGTGGACCCATCACCTATAGACATTTGTGTTGAAATCAGGAACGTAAATAAAGGATTTTTTTAACCCTTAATTGCTACAGGGGGAGCCGCGAGGGAGAAGGGGAACAAAGGGCCCTACAGCTTTGTATTCCTAACACTATTGTATCGCTTTAACCCCTTAAGGACACATGACATGTGTGACATGTCATGACTCCCTTTTATTCCAGAAGCTTGGTCCTTAAGGGGTTAAGCCATATACATTTACCTTGGGTCAGACCGTGTTTGAAAACCTCTCACTCCCTGCACAGTGAAATGACATCACCGGACCAACTAACCGACAATCCAAACACTGTCTGACCTAAGGTAACTGTATACGGCTGAATTATACTGTCATATACTAAGGACAGGAATGAGTTTTTCTAATTTTTATACATATACTTCATTTAACACAGGCTCTATTTCCTTTCAGAACATGATGGAAGGATGATTATATTAAAAACTAATGTTAAGATAACAGTTCCCTTTTAAATTACATATAATGGGTTATAGGTCCCAACTGTTAAAGGGACACTATAGGCACCCAGACCACTTCAGCTCACTGAAGTGGTCTGGGTGCAGTGCCCTGAAATTGTAATTATTGCAGTTATTGATAAACTGCAGTAATTACATTGCATGCATAACTCCACTTCTAGTAACTATCTATCAGACAGCCACTAGAGGTGCTTCCAGGTCAACTGACGCTAGACGTCCTCATGCTCTGCATGAGGACATCTAGCATTGGCTAAAACCCCACAGGAAAGCATTGACTCGATGGTCGCCGTGTATGCGCATTAGGTCCCCAACGTCGGGGGAGGAGGAGTAGTGGCGGAGCCTGACCCAGTGCCGAGGGACATTCAGTTAAGTGACAGAAGTACTGTAGTGCTTGGAATTGCTCCCTTTAGCTATTTTCCTCTCAATGTTTACTTAGAGATAGCGGTATCTGCCTGGGACATTAATGGCATTAGTGATAGCTGTATTAATTCCAGTGCTTCCCTAAATAACCCAGTGCCCTTCTTTTAATGAAGGGTGGATTACTAGTCATCATCCTGCCTACATACATTTGTGTGGTTTAATAATAATTAATTGTTTGTATTAATATGTAGGTGGAACTAGAGATATTCTTCTGATGAAATACCAAATAAATGTCTCCTTGGTGCCATTAACATTAGTTTACCACATATATCCGTGAACTCTTTTATTCTTACTTGCAAAATGTAAATTATCTTGAACTGGGCAAGGAATTTAACATTTTAGACTGAAATAGCCTAGTTGGAAATATTTCCAGTTTAACTCCTTATCCAAATTGGTTATTTTGGCCTAAGATATTCAATTATCAGTTCACAACTACCAGGATAGTGAATAACCCTTTTTGAGACTTTAGTGTAAACTGATAATTGTGGAAAACTGACCAGGGAAATATAAATTGCAGAGCAAAATAGCTACTTGAAGAGACTTGGAGAATATTTTGGCCAAACAAAGAAATTATAATTCCTTGGTCAAATCTCCACTAAACTTGTTTAGTAAATATAGATCTTTGTGAAAGTGTTTATGTCATATCATAACTCTTGATGTACTTGGTATCACAATGTCCTAAACATGTTGTTTGCAAAAAAAAAAACAACAACCAAGAGTAAAATGCACACACTAAAAAAGCGGGGGAATACTTCCTGCAGGGTGCTCTAGAAAGGGAGGGTCAATCCCTGAAGACATCTAATGAAAAAAAAAGAAATATCCTGGCACACCTGAGGTTTCTTCTAAAAGACAGTCTTTATTTGAAACAGGGTCCTCTCTGAGCGTTTAGCAAGTCAGACTTGATAAAGGCTCAGAGAGGAGCTGAAACGTGTCTCCACTTCCTTCCACAATTTCTGGATTGACATGTAAATTGATAAATAGTATTTGTTATTTATGCAAATATGTTGTTTTGTTTCAGCCAAAATATTTAAAATAGTATTAGTCAATTAGAAAGCTGGAAAAGGCATGATTTTGAGTTTCATGGTTTGTTTTTGTAGCATAATGTCTGTCTGTCTGTCTGTCGATCTATCTATTGATTTTCCATATATCCAGAAGAATATATTTTAAAAGGTTTGTAGCTTCTGTTTTCTCCTGAACAGGCCATTGTGCTGGGAATTATTTCTCTTTTTGTGTTTAGTGCAGTACAGGGTGATGACCAACAGATGTCCTTTCTGGGACACTCGCTGTCTATTTATATCATTGTGACAGTGAGCTCAGTGTCAGGTTTTCCAGTGACTTCTAAAGAGGGGACAGTGAGTAAGTCACCCCTTGCATGTCGCTCCTTTTGCAATTTTCCTCATATTCAGGTTTCCAAGGAGTTACCAGCTCTCTCGTGAAGCCTCAGCACATCTCGTGAAAGTGTCTCTAGACTCGTAAGTGCCACAATGAGCAGTGTCACCTATCATATTTCCAGCCTGCTGGAGAAAATGACATCCAGCGACAAAGATTTCAGGTGAGTTAGAGACTGTTAGCAGGGCTATGTCATGTGTGACAGATGTGATCCTGGTATAGCTATTGGCTAATATAGATATCGGAATCTTAAATTCCAGGCTGTGAATATACACACTTTATAAAAGGTACCTTAACCCCTTAAGGGCACAGCTTCAGAAGTAAAAGGCCCGTCATGTGTCCTTAAGGAGTTTTAATGACAACCAGTGTTGCTTCTTCCTTTTTTTAATAAGCTCTGTATTTCTGAAATAATTTAGTCACCTTTTGGGAAAATATGAAAGTGTGTGAATCTTCTATGTTAAATGACATCCTAAACTACACACTGGCCTCAGAAAACCATGTATAAAATAGCAGGCCACTAAAACAACCTACAGAAGTATGTGTACAAAATCTAAAATCAACAATGCTGCCTGTGGGTATTTACATATTTTGCATGTCATTCTGGGAGAGTTACGTAATGCAATCTTTCAGAACTGTTGTGCCTGGGGCCTTATGTATTGCAGTATTGCACACAAGTACAATTTAGTGGATCTAATTATAAACATGTCCAAGTTAGGACTGCACATCAATGTGCCTTGCATCTCTAAGGTTACTGAAAGTTGTAAATGTTAATGTTGTAAAGGTGGAGAAATCATACCTACTTTCATATTCCATAGGTTTCCATGGCGCTTGCCCTACTTTTAGTACATTGTACCAATTTTTAGAAAATGAAACTGATAAATTTCCCCTATTTTCTTTAGAATTAAATGTGTGTGCATAGAAGTATCCGGTTTTATTTATTTTTTCTTCTGCAAGTGTCCAATGGACTCATGTCCAGGGCATTTTTGTTCATTGAAATTCAAACACCTGTTCCCTTCAGACCAGGATTTTCCCCCAGCTTAGAATCATCAGTGTAAAGTTACATGAACTTCATAGTGTAAGTTATGCGACCTTTAGGAGAGTTTATAAACAGTGCCCCCTAGTGTTAAAAATGAGTATTGTATTTCATGCACTGAAAATTGCCTACATGATTTTAGTTTCTGGAAAAGAAAGAATGGCACATTTTACTAATAGCTATAGGATGAGTGCATTTTCTTTCAGCTTGGTGGTTGTGTGAGCATTGTGATGTGGACCTGATTAACATTGAGGTTAATCAGGTCATTTTGTACTGTTAGCCAGGACACGTGCAAGGATTTATATCACCCTAAAGAGCAAATATAGTTTGAAGCCTTTCCCTGTTTGTTTCACATCTACTTTCAGTCTCTTTCCCCCCATCTCCTTCAATTGTCTATTTTCTCCCTTTACTCATCTCTCAATGTGTGTTTTGAAGGATGTGTGGGGTAAGATCTGCATGTGCTAGCTAAAGAGTTAAAAGAACTTCTTGTGGTCACAAATAATTTGTTTTTTAAACTTTGCAATTGGCTTTCTGCCCTTTTGTACTTGGTCTCCCAAAGGTTCATGGCAACTAATGACCTGATGGTGGAGCTGCAGAAGGATTCCATTAAATTAGATGAAGACTGTGAGAAGAAAATAGTAAAGATGCTTCTGAAACTCTTGGAGGATAAGAACGGAGAGGTGCAAAATCTGGCAGTGAAATGGTGAGATTCAGCCAAAGTCATTTGACTCACACACTGTTCCCTCTAAGCTTTTTATTAGGAATGGTCCAATATTTAAACAGTTGAGAATTAAAGTATAAAAAAACAAACAAAAAAAAAAACAACTCTCCTGCATTTGCATTTTATTGTGAATGTAGGGAGTCCATGCAAGTTATTGCTAATATTAAATACATATTGTTTACATCCATTCTCCTATATAAGTATGCACCGATATGCCAACAACACACCTCCTTTATTTACCATAACTCGTCTATATCTACTCACAGCAACATGTCGCCAAACTCCAGCATTCATGCACAGAACCCAGCCATCAGTATACTGCCTCCTTCCATACACTGCTCATCTCTTCTATTCTCACTGATCAATAATGCCATAGTCACCATCTACAATTAACATATTGCCTGAATGCATATTTATTTATATCCATGTGCCCATGGTGTATTGTCCTTATTCACATCCTACAGGAAGTCAAAGTACTATTACTAATCCATTCACCAGCACAGCTTTGCATGGGACCTTTCCCCTGCTCAAATGTTCACTTTACTGGGAGCATCCATCACCAGCTGACTTATGTGATGCCTTTGTCTCTTCCCATTCACATCCACAATCTATTCACCGGAAGTACCAGGTCTCAAACCATTCCCTACTAGCTGCAATACATAAATCTACTTCTATACTAAGTTGAATTCTCACCATGAACTTAGTACATTCCTCGGATGGAAGCTGGCATGTCTTAGCTACTTGTGATTGTTCCTGCCATCACTAAACTGGGTTCTATAAAAGAACCAAAATAGAAGTACATTACCACATAGATTTTAACTATTCTTCCTCTCTTTATAAAAACATGGACTGCTAATGGCATAAATAGACTCAGGGCCGTCTTTAATTCTGATTGGACCCTGGGCAAGCATTAACTTGGGCCCCCTGACTACATATAGATACACACACATACAAAACCTGACACACATGCAGATACACACTGACCGCATATAGATACACACAAGAACATACAGATACACACAGACTACATATAGAACACTGACACACAGATAGACACAAACACAGATACACAACCTGACAAACATGCAGATACACAGATACAAACACTGATACATGCAGATACAAAGGTACACACACTGACTACATATAGATACACCGACACACACACTGACACACATACAGATACACAGATACACAACCTGACACACATGCAGATATACATATACAAACACGGACACATACAGATCGCACTGACGGACATACTGAAACACACATACACACAGACACTGACAGACATATTGACAAACACAGACATACAGAACCACACATACACTGACAGACTCACACACAGACATACTGGCACACTGACTGACAGACAGACATACATACATACACACACACACACACACACACACACACACACAGACACTCATGCAAAATTTGATAACCACCCTCCAGTTTCTTACCTTTTCCTGGAGGGTGGCTTCCCTGGGGTCCAGTGGGCTGGCTGGGGTGGCTGGGAGTTAAGCTCTCCCGGCCTGGCCCCCTCCGGAACAGCTGGTCCTCCATCCTCCTGCGCGGCTCTTGTTTCTGTGGGAGGAAGTGACGCGCGGCTGTCACTTCCTCCCAGTGCTGCCGAAAAAGCAAGGGCCCGGTCCCGCTGTTAAAGCGCCACAGTGCCCGACCGAGCCCCTGCTGACACAGGCCCACCGGGTGGCCCTAAGTGCATGGGCCACCCGATGGGCCCCCATAGTTTGCGGGCAGAGGGCAAAAGGAGCAGCTGTCTTGGGCCCCCCAGCTGGGACAGGGCCCAGGGCAGCTGCCCCGTTTGCCCTGCGTTAAAGACGGCCCTGAATAGACTTAACCAGATAATTCATCAGAATTAGATTATGCCTTTCGAGAAAATCAGGCATCTATTCTCTCTTCCCTACAGAGAAAATTTCACATATTTGAGGATCTGGAGATATCCGACAGATATCAGACAGATTGAAACTGGAGATATCTGACAGATTGAAACTGTTTATGAAAATAAATAATAGAAGTAATAAAAATCTGGTTTCAATTTGTGAAAAGCTATATGATTTACATAAGATAACCACCCTTTCACCCCCATTCCAAGCTTTAACAGCATGTGAAAAAGATTCTCAGACTACTATCACAAGAGAGGAGTGGGTTAGCGCAAACACTGTAGCCGATTCATTACATTGTCTTAACTTAATTGAAAATCAAGATCATCAACAGAGATAGCATTATGTTTCAACTAAATTAGCAAAAATTTATCCTGGCTTTACACATCCTACATGTTGGAGATGTGGATTCACTAGGGCAGACTATGTGCACATTTGGGGGTCATATCATAATATTAGCCAACTATGGAACAAATCATAATATTAGGTAACTATGGAACAAAGTCGCAGAATTTTGTAAAGACTAGATAGATGTGGACCTAGAATTCACTAGTAAGTCTGTGGTGCTGCATATTGGTTGGTCTTTAATATCTAAAACCAAAAAAGATCTAATGATTCATATTCTTACAGAGAGTAAAGCAGCATTAACTAGATACTGGAAACTTTCTGATACTCCCCCATGGGAGATGATTAAGCATCAAGTTTTAAACCATTGCCAAATGGAGATAGCATCTTGAGACAGGATAACTACTGTGACGAAAGTAACCTCATCACGGGTTCTTGGAGGGGCCTGCTAGGCAGCCTCTTTCCTCAGGACTATGGGCCCTGCAATATACCTTGCCCAATGCACTTTAAAAGGCTGTGTTCATGTACAGTATGAACTTTTGTACTCCAGACAGAGAGACCGACCGTTAGCCCTAATTCTCTGGAACTGTTTTGGGCATGGAACCATGTGCACGGTGGGTCAAAAATAAGACGTCCAGGAAATTATTGAACCCCTGAACTGATCTGGGTGATTTATGGATATGTTGGTCACCCAGATCAGGGCTATCAGGGGATGTAACATTTGTGGTGTTTTATGTACTTTTAGGTTACTTTTAGGGTGTTTTAAAATAAATATGTTTTTTCTGTTCTTGGAGATAATTGGATTAGATTTGTAAAGTTCCTGATTCAATTATCTCCAAGGCAGAGGGGAGGGATTGTGTGTTTGTTTATGGGAGTGTCATGCATTTACTCATTGTTGTTATTGGTCTGTGACTTGGTGCTGCAGTTCGCCACAAGGTCCAGGTGGGAGTGCCCCTTGCATGGGGACTTGCATATAAACAGAATGCTTTACCCCTTCATGAAGTCTTGGCTCATGTTTTGGGGATTGGAGAACTACATACACTCTGGGGATTGCTATATCACAATACTCCCCTGAGTATAATCACTAGCTCTTCTAAGAGCTGTTCCTGCTACGCTCTCTGGACTAGGAGAGGTCTACCCACTGGAAGCTGGATCCTGGTCTTGGGTCCAGGGTGGGTGGAGGATGCCGAGACCCCAACCAAGCTGCGGTGGTTATGGTGTCTGGTGCGGTGCTTATGGTACTCAAGGATTACTAGGAAGCCACAATTGAAGGTCGGGGTGACAGTCGGTCCGTCACAACTACCTTAACCCAGGAATAGATCAATGGGAAAAATGGGATATAAAATTAAGGAACAAGTAAGGACTTGTATATTCATTTGTTACTGGGTCCCCCTTTTCTTTTTTTTTTCTCGGCACAGTGTGTGATTGTCTTTGTTAGTCTTTGTCTATAATATTAGTCTGCTATGTAAGAAACACAAGAATTTATTAGTAAGGTATGATGAACAGTTGAAGATATAATACTAAATTAAAAGCATCAATAGTACAAAATATTAGCATATGTCTGTATATCTATGTGTTTATGTCATTTCCTGTTTATATTGAAAATTTATATGAGATAATATGTATTTTTTTTTTAAAGTATTCTTTCTCAAAATGTTGTGGTTAATGATCAAAATGGTGACACTGATCTTTTAATAAAATATTTTTAATTCATATGCTGTGAGTGTGGTCAGATTTTTACTGCGATTTTTATTTTGCAAATGGGTGCTTGGGATTTCCTGTCGCTCACTGAGCTTGAACAGAAGTCTTGTCTCTTTCTTCCTCCTATCCCAGCTTAGGACCTTTGGTGGGAAAGGTGAAGGAATATCAGGTGGAGACTATTGTGGACACGTTGTGCAGTAACATGTTATCAGACAAAGAACAGCTACGAGATATTTGCAGCATTGGTTTAAAGACTGTGATTTCCGAACTTCCTTCAGCAAGCACAGGTAGAAAGAGCATGCTCTGGTATGTATATGGACTATTTGAGTGTTGGTATTATGGTACTCTGTCCATCTAATATATGGAAAGGGAAAACTAGGGATAGAGATTAAACCACCATTCTGAAGACTGAATCGACAAATGATAATCCAGGAATTCCAAATTGAACAGTTGATAAACAAGTCAAGGCAGTATTCATAAATTCACAAATTAATGTTCGGAGAGCATGCCAGATGGAGGTAACAATTCAGAAGTCAGACTACTCCAACACCAAGGCAGAAGGCTACATAAATTAGATTAAAAGCAATCAAGCTGTGAGAGAAAGTAACAACTTGCTACTGCAAAAAGCAAGATCTCAGATGTAACTCTGCTAACCATAGACTTCTTGATGTGTGGTAGATGCTACTTTCTCAGTCAATGTGGATGCTAAATCTTAATAATATCAGCATGTGGACACGTCCACCTAAATGTTCTGGCTAAATTGCTGGCTTTACCTCCAGCCATCCTTTCATAACGAATGTGTTCCTCTTTTGAAACACTAAAAGTTATGTGATTAATGTCTACAAATATACATTTGTTTAAATTAATGCTGTAAACCAAATATTGAGTGGTGAATGAAAAAGGAGGCCTTGATTGGCAATGGTGTTCAGGAAGCAACCATGGGAGTAGCCGAAAGATAGCTCACCTTGGAAAAGAGTTGTAAAAGAAAGAAATTGAAAGGAAAGAAAAAGGTGAATTAAGAGGTGGGATTGCTGCCTGCCGTGTTCAGTGACATAGCAGGAGTGGAGATTTATATGTACTAACCCCCTCCTACAACTATTGGCTGAACAGCCTTTGTACAGTATGTGTCAAACCACGATCTTGAGCTATATTTTAAAGACGATAAACTATTATCACTTTGCCAGTAATAATACATATTGCCTCATTATAGGTTCATCGTTAGCTGCCAATGTGTGCAGGAAGATTACAGGTCAGCTGACTGGCGCGATTGGGAAGCGAGAGGATGCATCAGTGCAACTAGAAGCACTAGATATCCTGTCTGACATGTTGGGAAGGTAGGTCTACAAATATACTACCCTATTTTGGAAACTACTATTGTAATTTGTGGGTTGTAGATACCCTTTAATAAATTTTTATTGCAATTGGTTATAAGGTGATTACAAGGAGATTTGGCTCAAATGGATTACCTAGCCTTAATCAAAACACTTAAAATGTTCGTCATCATCTCCAAAATATAATCACAGCAGCACATGTCATTAGAGTGTGGGTTAACCTGCTGTGTAACTGTATTCTCTAATCTTTAGATTGCACCCTTAGTGCTCCCCATAACTCCTGTGGATAGTCCTCTAACTTACTCTAAATAATGGTGGGAATGAAAAAACCCACAACAGAGTAAGTGCAATGTACATCATAGCACCACATCATTAGTATCTTTACTTTATTCCTCTAACATACATAGTTCCTTAACCCCTTGACTGGGACAATGGGATATTTAAATATGAGGGGGAAAAAAAGTATATTTAAAAATCCCTCATAGTCTCTTAACCTGTGTCCCTGTTCCATCAGTAATCCTTATTTAATCTATATCTTTAATCATATCCTTTTCCTCGTCAACCCTATACCGAGTACATATAACTAACAACTCACACAATAATGCGATCTGTGATGCCATTTTGGTATTGATTGTGTTTCCATAGATCTCTGCAGGTTTATTAAAATATAGGCTTCTTTCTAATGAGTATATAATGTTATCTGTGACCCCACCAGGTTAGGAGGAGCGCTCTTTACTTTCCATCCTTCTATCCTGAGTTGCCTATTGCCCCAGTTAACCAGCCCCCGGCTGGCTGTGAGGAAGAGAGCTGTTTTGGCACTGGGACACCTGGTTCAGTCCTGCAGTAGCACCTTATTTACTGAGCTTATGGAACATCTTGTGGCAGAGCTTAAGAAGAACGACTCCACGTCCACCACTAGAACTTACATCCAGTGTGTTGCAACTGTGAGCTGGCAAGCAGGCCATAGAATAGGTAATATTGCTACAGGGCACCGTCCTGGGCAGACAAGATAGAAGAACATCTCACGATGCATGCATTCTTTTTCTCATTATTTCTGTTTTTTTCTTGTCCAGACAGTGCACTTCCTTCTTACTCATGTTAAAGAGTTTTGTTTTTTTTCATTTAATAACAGACAAGAAAGTACTACAATACTAAAGTTAAACTTAAGTGTATTTCCTATTGTCACATATTGCTAATGATTATCTATCTATATGTTTATAAAATTAGACTGAAATTTTTTTTAATCGAAACTTACACTTTAAATTAACATCCAAAAAGGACAAAAGTAAAAAGTAAAAAAAGAATACAAGAAAAAAAATAAACATCACAAGAGAGAGAGGGGACCTCCGATTGCCTAGGTATCCAAATTATTGGCTCTATTATGCTAAAAGAATATATTCCTATAGTTCTTTCTACGTCCTTGATACATCCAGGGTTTTAAAACTATTTGGAGATATCAAAATGGAATTTATATGACATTAGTTTGACTTCTTAAAATTTATATGAGCTTAGTTTGACTTCTTAAAATTTATATGAGCTTAGTTTGACGTATTTTAACTACTTAGAGGTTTCTTTTGTTCTATACTTCTACTGAATATCCTCATATCCAAACGTTCTTACTCATGTTTTATCTTTGTCCTTACCCTTTCTTCTATCATTGTATCTAACCCTCTCCTCAAGGCCCCCATCTTGAGAGAATTGTGCCTCTAGTGGTGGGGTTCACTAAAGTGGAGGATGATGAATTACAGGAGCAATGCTTCCAGGCTCTGGACTCCTTCATTAGGCGTTGCCCCAAAGAAATTTCTGCACATGTCCCGACCATAATGGAACTGTGTCTAAAATACATTTCCCATGATCCAAACTACAACTATGACGACGAAGATGAGGAGGAAGACATGGAAACAGAGAGCGAGGAAGAACCAGGTTAGTAATCAGGATATGCTTATTTAATACCAAGGAAAGGTAGTCATAGAAGCCAAAATAAATCAAAACCACACTGGGAAAAGTGCACTTGTTTGCCCTGGAATATTCTAGCATGTGGCATGCATGGCTTGAATTTGGCTTAAATTCCCAATGTGGCTGAACAGACATTGTCTAAATAGAATTTCCAGAGCTAGACCTACCCCCAGTATGTGACAGATTGGCAAGCAGGTGAGAATTTATTACCATTCTTCCAAAAGAATGACAAAGTGAAAAAAGCAGAACATAAATTTTGGCTGATCTGATTACTGTTTCCTCCATAGCAGAAGTTAGGGAAATCAGGGTTAGAGGGATGTCTGCATACAGTAAAATTTTCCTGGTCAATTCTTTATAATATTGTATGTGTTTGTAGCAGTTTTGGATGTAGAAAGAACTACTGACAGAATTTTTTGGCAGACATTGATGATGACTACAGTGATGACGATGACATGAGCTGGAAAGTGAGGCGTTCTGCGGCAAAGTGCCTAGAATCTCTTATCAGTGCAAGGCCAGATCTCCTGACAGACTTTTGCAGGAAAGCAGCACCTACAATAATTATGCGCTTCAAGGAGCGTGAGGAGAATGTCCGTGTTGATATCTTCTCAGCCTATATAGCTCTTCTAAGGCTGACGCGCTCTTCCAAATGCTTCAGACAGACAGTGGAAGCTACAGGAAAAGGAGATGCTCCCCTCTCTGCTCTGCAGGAACAGGTGAGTGGAAACGAGAGTCCTTTGTTTCCTGCAGTGGAAACCTTAAACAGAGAAAGACTGGAGCCTCATTGAACTACAGGGAACCTTTATTGTATATATATTTTACAATGATGTTAGTTCTATTTGGTTACCCAGAACCTTTGACCAGGTATCTCTGGTGCATAAAAGCTGTGCCTGGTGTCCTCTTTCTTCTTTCACTATCCCAATGTCTCATTAACATCACAGGTTCCATCAGTAATGAAATCTCTGCACAAACTCCTGCGAGATAAGAGTGCAAAGTCTCGCCAGGGCTGCTTTTCTGTGCTCACAGAATTAACCAACGCTGTTCCCGGTTGCCTCTCCCAGCACATATCTACACTGATCCCAGGTATCTGCTCGCTTTGCAGATTGTAAAAGTGTAAGAGCCAACCACCACATTATAATTTTTTTAACTAGTAGCATTATATACAACTTTTTGTTTGGCTTTAGAAAAATGCTGTCCATTTTGTGGAAATAACTCCCACGGCAAGAAGTAATAAATGTTGTTTATGTTTTTAGTAACTTATCTTAGGTACCATCCACCATTAGTTTTGTATTGGAGGCTGGTGTGTGTATATATATATATATATATATATATATATGTGTGTGTGTGTATGAGTTAAGTGTTCCAATATTGTTGTATTAGTAGAAAGAACCCACAAGCTGTCCCCATTAGGATAGGTCCTTAGAAACACATTCTCCCTGCTGTCTGTTCCTCTTCCAGTGATGTAATTTCACCTTGCTAGAGGGGGATGGACATCACAGAGGACAGGTCAAGGGGAGACCATGTGAGCATGGAGGGGGGCCCTGTGTCCATTGGTCGTCATGCTAAGCGTGCTTACGACAAGCATCCAATATGCACAGAGTTGATAAAAGCAAGCCCAGAACTCGTGTTCTGCATTGGCTAATGATACCCTAATGATGCTGCCAGAGGTGGAGTTACACCTTCCGCAACAAGGGTTAGATGCCTGTATGTGCAGAGTTTGATAGTGAAATACTACAGATGCAGACTTCAAGCACCATGAGTACTTCAAATCATTGAAGTGGTCATGGTGTTTGGAATAACCCTTTAATATAAAGAACATGAGACACTCCACTCACCTTTACCTTTCATTCATCTTTAGAAGCAGTGGAGTGGTGGATTAACCTGCATTGTAGATAAGTGATGGCGAACCTATCGCACAAGTGCCACTTGTGCCATTTTCATGCCTCTGACTTGACAGTCAGTGTTTACTTACAATGTAGCCATCAATCCTGGAGCCCAAAATGAAACTTCTTGGTTTCATTCTCAATGTCACCTATGATGGTACCAGTACACAAGACATTCAACTGGTGTATAAATACATAACAGACAGGAAGGGAGAACCTGAAACGGGACAGAAATTAGACCCTTTCTTGGAATGAGAGTGGGGAAACCACAAGTGGGAAAGTCAGTATTGAAGTAGGAAGTAGGTATACACTTATTTGAAATAGTTGGATGGAGAGGAGCTCTACTAATATGGGGCAACTAGAGCAAAAGGAATTGATGCGGGAATAAGAACTGATGTAAAGAATAAACAGAGTGATATGAAGGAGGGACGTGTTCAAATAAAGAAGGGTTGAAGATACTGAAATGAATAAAACTAGGAAATGAAAGTGAATCTGTTATGAATAATTTAACTTACCGTAAATCGTTCCCATATATACTGAATAAACCATGAATCACAAAGATGCAAGGTGTATTCAATGTAAAATATAAAGATTTACCAAAATTTCCTCTATTACAGCGCTGTTTCAAGGGTGTTTTGAGGGTGGCTTGCGCTCCACTTTCTGTTCTGAGGTGTTGGCTGCCAGCTGTGAGAAACCCCTCTTTTTAAATAAATTTTTTCTCTCTTAATCTATACATTTGCTAGCAAAACTGCTAGCACTATATAGAGGTAAAATCTCATGCACAATCTAATAAGCATAAGTTTAAAAAAAAAAAAAAGCTGGTATTCTGCATAGAAATGTTGTTGTCTAAGTGTTATGATAGAGGTACCTATCTGGTTTGAGTTCAGCTGTTTTGATTTAACTGTAAAGATTATTGGTTATAGTTGTTCTCTTTTCTCTCAGGTCTGGTGTTTTCTCTCACTGATAAGGCCAGCAACTCCAATATGCGTCTGGATACACTGAGCTTCCTACATGTCATACTGACTAGCAATTCCTCAGAATGGTTCCATCCTCATATCCCTGCCTTGCTGCCCCCAGTGGTCAACTGTATTTCTGATCCCTTCTATAAAATCACCTCTGAAGCACTTCTGGTGGCCCAACAGCTGGTCAAGGTCATCCGGCCATTAGAGAAAATTCAGGATTCCAAACCCTCACCATACACAAAGGAGCTTTTTAATGCCACTTCAAAGAGGCTGCAGGCCACAGATATAGACCAAGAAGTGAAGGAGCGAGCTCTGTCCTGCATGGGACACATTATATGCCACCTTGGGGACCAGTTGGGTAGTGACCTACAACCAACCCTCCACCTTATTCTAGATCGACTCCGCAACGAGATCACCCGTCTCACTGCTGTGAAAGTTCTCATTCTTGTAGCAGGTTCACCTCTGAAGATTGATTTAAGGCCCTTGTTGAAGGAGGCTTTGCCCATTCTATCATCTTTTTTACGCAAGAACCAGCGGGCCCTCAAACTGGGGACAGTCTCTGCCCTTGTGGTACTTGTAAGAAATTACAGTGACTGTCTAAAGCCTCCCATGGTGGATCCTTTGCTAGGGGAGCTGCCCCCTCTGCTTTCTGAAACAGATATGCATGTGGCTCAGGTCACAGTGGACTTTCTTACCACACTGGTGACTGCATATCCAGCTTCCATATTCAAACTTAGCTCCCACATTCTTCCACAACTTTTCCAGTTAGTACATTCTCCCTTACTGCAGGGGGGTGCTCTCATCTCCATTCAGTCATTTTTACGTGCTCTCGTCCTGAGCCGAACTTCCCAACTGGGCTACACAGAACTCATGAAACAACTGACAGGACCAGTGAATACTTCTGGGTCTACACTCCACAAACAAGCGTTCCACTCTGTGGCAAAATGTGTAGCCACCTTGGCAAATGCCTGCCCCAAAGAGTCCAATGTGTCTATAAACCAATTTATACAAGATGCAAAGAGCCCTAGAGTTGGGGACCCTGTAAAAGTGCTGGCTTTTCTGGCACTTGCTGAGATTGGTCGTGAAAGGAGCCTGGGAGCCCAGCAGAAAGAACTTAAAAGTGTCATCCTTGAGGCATTTTCCTCAACTAGTGAGGAGGTGAAGTCAGCAGCTTCTTATGCTTTGGGAAATGCTAGTGTTGGAGGTCCTGCAGACTTCCTGCCATTCTTGCTTCATGAAATTGGGGGTCAACTTCGAAGACAGTATCTCCTTCTGCACTCCCTCAAAGAGGCTCTTACCTCACTTCCCAGTGAAGAGCTTAGACCATATCAAGAAGATGTGTGGAAGCTTCTGCTCCAGCACTGTGAAGCTGCAGAAGAAGGCACAAGGAATGTAGTTGCAGAGTGTTTGGGCAAGCTTACTCTGGTGAATCCTGCTCAGCTCCTAGCCAGGCTGAGCAAGCAGCTTAGTTCAGGTAATGCCCATACATGACACTAATCACAGGGATGCAAAAAGGAATGTATTATAGCTATTGATGCCTTCTTCAAAAATCACATAGACTGCTAATCAGGACTTATTTTCACTGCTTATTTAAACTCTTAAAGAGATACTAAAGACATCAAAACAGCTTAATGAAACAGTTTTTGTGTATAGGTCATGCCCCTGCAGTCTCACTGCTCAGTTCACTGCCATTTAGAAGTTAAACCCCTTTTGTTTGTCTTTGCAGCCCTAGCGACACCTGCCCTGGTTGTGAATGACACAGCCTGCATGAAAAGAAAATGGTTTCATTTTCAATCAGATGTAACTTAATTTTAAAGTCTTTTTCCTCTGCTCTGTAAATTTAACTTTATTTATATACAGGAGGCTCCTGCAGGGTCTAGCAAGCTATTAACAGAGCAGGAGATAAATTATAAATTACAAAATTTGCAATAAATAAAGTTTAAACATTAGATGACTCTTTACAGGAAGTGTTTAGAAAAGCTGCAAGTCACACACAGGGAGGTGTAACTAAAGCTGTAAAACAAAGTGATTTAACATTCAAATGGCAGAGAATAGAGCAGTGAAACTACAGGGCCATGATCTATACACAAAACCTGCTTCATTAAGCTAAAATTGTTTTGGTACCTATAGTGTCCTTTTAGAATACGAATGAAAAAGTCGGTAAAACTTTGATATGCATGTCCTTTATATAAAATAACACAGACAGAATATGTATGTGTAAAAGTCATGTTGCTTTTTTTTTATGGCTGCAAGCAGTCCTACTTTTTCTAGAAAGTATTTTTATTTTATTTTATTTTATTTTTTGAGTGAAGAGGCACTACAGAAAAAAAAGCATTGGGGGCTTGTTTAAATTCAGAACTGGCTTATTTTGTTATGTTTAAGTAAATTCTGCTTAAATTAAAACCAGTCACTAAATAAACTAGATGTAATATATTAGTGAACTAGAATCCTAAAAAGACATTTGCAGTATTTTGAAAAGTTATAATCTTAGTTACAGTTTACTGATTCATTGACATTTAATTTTGCATAATTTAGGTCAAAAATAGTAATCTGACATAATTCCCTAAGTGAGCTATTTTGGCCAGTTTGACTTTTTTGGTTTTCAATTCAATTTGTAGTGAATAAACATAAACTAAAGCCAGTTTCTCTTTTTCAGCTTACAAATGTAACATTTGGAGTAAGAAACAAAGACCGTTTAAAGCCACTTGTGTGTTAGTTGTTGAAATTGTTTCCCTACTCACATTCCTTCCTGGCCCCAATCACACACCTCAAACCAATACCTCCTACCATTTAAAACCTGCTATTCTTATAAGCTCCAAATTAAAGAGATAATATAGGCACCAAAACATATTTAACTTAATGAATCAGTTTTAGTGTACTGACCATGCTTCTGTAGTTTCACTGATCAAATATCTGCCATGTAGGAGTTAAATCACTTTTATTTCTCTTTATGCATTGCGTTTCCAACCACAATTGGTTTAGACGTTTTAACTTCTGTGCTGTACATTGAACTTCAGTCACATACAGGAGGCACCTGCTGGGTCTAGCAAGCTATCAACAGAGCCGAAGATAAGAAATTCTAAATTAAACAGATGGTGCATTAAAGGAAGTTTAAACATTAGATGTTTATTTACAGGAAGTGTTTGGGAGGGCTACATAAACAAATTGATTTAACTACTAAATGGCAGAGAATTGAGCAGTGAGACTGCTGTGGCGTGAGCTATACACTAAAGCTGCTTAATGAAACTAAAGGTTTTTTTGTGCCTATTGTGTGTCCTTTTAATGAGATTAATGAATATAAATTATTTATTCACTGATATTAAACTTGTAAGTAGTATAAGTAAAACAAAAGTAAAAGTTGTGAACAATAATTGTCAAACTAATATTGGAACACATTAATGTGCAGCTTTGTAGTCCTAAAAAATTATGATGTCATGTAACGCAGACCCTTTTTTAAAGTAAGTGCACATAGAAAAGGTAAAAAAACAAAACAAACCATGAGGCATAAACTCTATAGTGCAGGTTGCACAGTGTACCCTCACCCACGCTTCATATTTTCTAGAGGGTAATCAATCCAACTCACCATCAGTATGTTGTGTGCTTTGCAACATTTATTTAATTTTTTTAGAAGGCAAAAGTGTAGTCTTTTGCACTCTCTGCAGCAGCACAGTAAGGACAGGAACAAACATTCACAAATTAAGGCCACCTGTTTTCTTGGCATTGGCTGGCTGCCCAGCTTGCCCAGCAGTGAGTGTACTGCTTTGTTGCCCTTTTCCAATGCCACTCGCAGGGCTCACCTCTCCATGACAGCTTGTTTATTCAAATAGCCTACCGCTATACTTGAAGCTTCTCAACCAACTAGCCTTCTCACTGGCTATCTGGCAAAAGCTCTTTCCACACTGTTTCGAACACTCCACCCCACCCCTTCCCACTGCCTCCTTGACTGCCCACTGGCCTATTGAATGTCTGTCTGGGCTCTTTAAACACCTCTCCTACTGCTGGATCCTGCTCATACACACTTGATCATAACATAGCTCAGGCAACCCAGAGGCCGCTGTGATCAATGTGTTAAATTGCCATCCTTGCCACCTTTGTGGAATACCTAGTGCTCATTTTGCTGTCACACCCCAAAGGCCAGCCCTGAGTGGGTTATTGTGAAAAAACTGACTATCTCAGTTTTGTCAGTTGGTAGCCCTGGTTCTGCAATCTGTTTTTAAAGTTTGTTTGCTCAGACATTCTGGTTTCCTGTTCAAGGTTCTGCTCAAACACGAAGCACTGTGATTACTGCCATCAAATTCACCATCTCTGACCAGCCAGCTCCCATCGACTCCCTGCTAAAGGACCGTATCGGTGAGTCCAAGGTTTTCAGATTTATTTACGTCTTGTTCCCATTTACCAAATAATTTAAAACTTACTAGCAGTTTCAATTGTCCCTTAATTTGCCTCTTAGAGTCTACTTCACTAGGCACTCAATCTTGGAGTTGGACTTGAAGTTAATGGTGAGTTTCCTCCAAGATGAGACGCTGATTGAAGCTTATGGTACGGTTCCAGCTGGTGAGGGTTACATTAATACACAGCTTAGTCTGCTTTGACTTGCAGTTTTGGATTACACAAGGGTTATTGCTTCTCAACCTGAGAAAGACAGGCCAAATATTTAATTGTTATAACTTTATTGACTTGTTTACATTGTTACAGTGTCTAGTCATTTACTAGTCTTTGAATCTTCATTACTTGTCTAATGATATAGGGTAGAACTGATTCCGGGGGCATTTTGGGTTCAACAAAATTAGATTTATTCAGTAATATTCAGCAAAATTTTAAAAATCCTTAAATGAGGCACAGGTTATACTGAACATCATGGAAAAGTTGGATGCAGTCATGGTAAACTAGTGGTTTAATAAGCGGTTTATATAATCTTTATAATCTGTCATACTGTAATTTAAAGTCTCTGTTCAAATCCTGTATGTGGAGTGAGGTCTGGTTTTAACGAAGATCATTTTAAAGGACGGTGAGGATCTGTTAATTGTATTTAAATGCATTCCCGTGCAGGTGAATTCTTAAAATCACTCCAGGACAAGGAGCCCAATGTACGCCGTGTGGCCTTGGTAATGTTTAACTCTGCTGCTCACAATAAACCAGCTTTGGTTAGAAACTTGCTGAGCAATGTCCTTCCTCCTCTATATAACGAGACTCGAGTCCGAAGGGAACTTATTCGGGAGGTAAGGAATCTAGCAATGTGGAGAGATCCACAGAGGTTTCAAAAATATATTGTAATTTTATATAATCATATATTTATCTGCAATTCAGAAGTTCACAATTAGATATATACTGACACTCACAGAATGGGAAATGCCTGCACACTTATAAAGGGTTGGTTTACAGAGGTGGACATTGAGATGTGTGCTGTTATTCTTTCTGGAGGTTGTGTATTCTTCTGCCATAGATCTCATTGAAATTAGCAGACACAAGCATGGTTGCCGTGCTCATAGTGATGAACTAAGTGAATTATTAAAGCTTCATGATGGCCATGCCTAGAACTTGGCCTGTGCTACATAAATAGGTTGCTGCATATACACTAAGGTGACATAAACAAAAATATTGATCAGGATTGTCCAACTCCCACTTGAGCAAGAAGTAGTATAGGTGCCTTTTTGCATTTTTAATGCCGTAATATGCTTGTGACCACAATCGACAAATCAAACAGTCAATATCAGTTTTAGAAAACAAAACTGTGATTAAAAAACAAAACATGATATTGAAGGCATGACATATTCACAAAACAGTAGAACGTCACTGCTTATTGTGCGAAATAATTCTATTTTCTTCCTGAAGGTTGAGATGGGACCCTTCAAACACACAGTAGATGATGGTCTTGATGTTCGGAAGGCAGCTTTCGAGTGTATGTACACTCTGCTGGAGAGTTGTCTTGACCAGCTCGATATATATGAGTATTTAAGTCATGTAGAGGATGGGCTGAAAGATCATTATGACATCAGGGTAAGAAATCCCTAGGCTTTTCAGTGGGGCTGAAGGCAAACATTATGAATTTTGTTGTTAAAGGGTAACTCTAAGCACCATAACCACCACACGTGCTGTAGTGGCTATGATACCAGTATGCCAGCACATGGCCTGAACTCTCTCTCTGCAAATTGCTTTTATGGAAGTTGCAGTAATATAATTTTTGGCCAACTTTGTATAACATTCATTGGCTAAGTGTGCCAGATAGTGCTGTCCAAATGTAGGAGGAAATCGATACTCCTAATGTGTTACTTGGGCAATAGCAATATGCTGAGTGAGGGAGTGGGCCACAGGGTTTGGGGGACCCTTAGACTGTGTCAAATTGCTAAATTGTTTTGAAACAGACTCAAGGAACTGCATGAGGGGCAATCTGACATCATAACTACTACCACATGCTGTTGTGGTTATGGTGCTGAGTGTGCACCTTTACAAATAGCTGAATACCCTTGTAAAAAATGATATACGTTGGTTATCCACTGACTGACCAGATGATTTTGCTTTTCTGGATTAAGATAAGCATTTGTCAGTCCAATCAATTGTTTAAGGCTGCATTACGACCTGGACTATGTTTAATACTAGGTTCCATTTTCTTGCAGATGCTGACATTCATCATCCTCACTCGCTTGTCTGTCCTGTGCCCAAATGCAGTGCTCCAACGTTTAGACCAACTCATTGAGCCGCTCCGGGCAACATGCACTACCAAGGTACAAAGGTGCTCGCACTGGTTTACAGAGAATAGGCATCACCAAGTCAGTACTGCCATGTATGAAAGCAAGTACTATGGGTGTAAAGGCTTACTTACAGTCTTCAAAATAACAGTCAAAGCGGATGAATGCAACAGCTTGCTCATAGGCTACATAACCACAGATTGATGGAGTACAAAAATCACCCCTACTCCAAAAGCCCCTGTATGGTAACCCTAGTGAACAAACTTCAGAGGGCTCTTCCCATTGAATTTACACTAATATTCAGATGCTCTATCTACAGGTGAAAGCTGGGTCTGTGAAACAGGAGTTTGAGAAGCAAGATGAACTCAAGAGGTCAGCTATGAGAACCATCACTGCCCTACTCACCATTCCAGAAGTGGAGAACAGCCAAAGCATGTCAGAATTCATGTCTCAGATTAGATCCAATCCCGAACTTTCATCTCTGTTTGAGAATATCCAAAAAGACTCGATCACTCTGTGCACCACAGAGGCCATGGATATTAGCTAAGGGCCTGCGTCAAGAACTGCCATGAGTATTCAAAGCACAGTAGCTCAGCTCTACTCAACCCACAAAAGACCAGTCACAGAGAACACTGTAGGGTCTCAAATCTTGTGGTCTCTTCTGAAAATTATTTTGGTAAGATTTAGCTGAACTTTTTAAAATGTTTTTAAAATGTTTGGGATCCTTTCATGATAGTGTAATATTGGTTTTGGCTGGATCCATAAGGTGTGCTTTACCAGCAAAGCACATTGGTGTAAAAACAATAAACTCACATGACAATACATCTGTTAACCGAGTCCCCCCCAAACACCTTAATTAAAATGTAACGTTTGAGCTAGAGATAAATTAGTTTTTGTATTGAAAGCATAGACTCTGTAAGAACTCAAATTTATAACAGTAAATGTTTGATTCAGTATAAAGTGGAAAAAAATAAAAAATAAATAAAACAACCTTCCACAGGTTATCCGTCTCTTTCTTAGCACTTTCCCTCAACATATGTGACAGTCACTCACAGGAAATATGATATGGTTCTGCTCAGGTGGAAAGAATGGTTTAGTGACAGGTTAATAATTCAGCCTTGTAGAGAGTATGGTCAGGTTTAACAAAATGCATTATACCCATTAATATTGTTAATTTAGGTAACAGACTAGAGCCCACAAATGTTCCTACATCTAAAACTGACATTTTTTTCTAACTTTTGTCTCCCTTTGACATTCAATGCATAAAACAGAAAAAGCTTAAACTGCCAACGGAATCATGTATATCCCCAATCCCCATGTTTACCAACTTCATGTGTATTCTAGTGTTTGAGAGTGTGGCAGCCTGTAACCCTAGATATTGGCTTGCCCTGCAAGCATACAGGCAGCACATTAACCCTATCACTACCACGACTTTCTCAGCTGGATTTCAAATTAACTTTTTAACCCCTTTATGACACCCGACAAAAATTTCCCGTCATGCTTGTCCTGCTGTTAAGGACGCATAACAGAAAATTTCCGACCAGCAACAACCAATCACGCTGTGCCAGCACATGTGATCACTGTAACAGCCAGTCACAGTGCTGCTGGGACTCCCATCCTCCTCTCTGTGTGTGTAGAGCAGCGTTTCCCAATTGGTGTTCCACGGAACCATAGGGCATCTGCCACCAAAATTACTGAATTATAGTGGAACGCAGGAGCAGAGAGCAGTGGAATGCACGCAGCACTTTACACAAACTGATATCTACCTTTCAACTGGCCGGAGTGAAAGTCAGTGAAAGCCTCTCAGTGCAGCATTCTCACGATACGCTAGTTTTTAAGTCTACAAATTGTGTGTTTTTAATTCAATTTACTTAATAAATACATCTGAACAGTGAGAACTATGGTTTTCCATCTTACTGTTTTTTAGAACGACGGAAGGATTCTTGAATTTAAGACCAATATATATGATCTTAAAGTAATTCTTACTTCTATCTATTGTACATAATTGGGATCAACACAGTTCAAGAACACACTGTCAGTACTATAACAAATAGCCTGTTGAAAACATAACCCCAGCTGTGCCGATAACTAGGGTCATCTGATAAAGGCAGACACTATAAATCTTTGAACATTGTATCAACTGCATGCCAGTTAACCATTTATTGTGGCAATATTCCAATAACATGGGGACTAATATATTGAAATATGTTTTTTATACCCAGACTGCCGTATTTTATTTTGATATTTCTTAAAGACATATTCCACACACCATAACTACTCCTGGTAATTTATTAGATTTTATCTAATCATTTTTTTCTGCAAATTCTGGCTTTAAGTGGGAGCCTGTTTTATCCAGTATAGAAGTATCAAAGCCACGGTTGCATATCCTAAGTTGAGAGTTTCACTCTCACCTACACTTGCTTTCACTTCTCAGGAGGCCTATTCTATTTTAGTGGCCGACTTTGAGTCCACAGACACTGCTACTGAGAGTGGTGAAGACTCTTTGCCAGACACTGCAGGGCCCTCTGTTGAAAGCGCAGAGTCCCCCGACAAGGCTCATGGCACTGGTGACCGGAAACCCCCTAATTATTTTACGCCTGACATCCCCGAGTTTACTGGCAGTCCTAGATTTCAGGTGGACTTGGCTAACTCCAGAGCACTGGATTTCATGCAGCTGTACTTGGGGGATTATTTTTTTAGGGAAGATTGTCACCCAGACCAACATTTATGCTGAGCAGTATCTGGCACTTAAGGAACAGTCTCATCGCCAGGAAAGGTAGCTGGTACCTCATCAGTGTGCCAGAATTAAAATAAAAATTCTGGGCACTGACTATGCTAATGGGCATTAGGCAGTCCAACAAGCACATGGGGGGAGTTGACAGGGCTGCCATCAGAAATTTTGGGGCCCCTAACACAGCTCAAGGTCTGGGCCCCCCTCCAAATCCCACCCACAGGAATACACACACACACTAACAGATACAAATACGGAAACAGACACACACACATGCATAGAGAGATACTGACACACACACACATGCAGACATACCTACTGACAAACATACATATACATACTGCATACTGATATATACATACATACTGACAGGCATACATACATACACACACACACAGGCATATACACACACACACACTGGCATACATACACACATACACTGGCATACATACACACAGGCATCCACACACATACACTGGCATACATACTGGCATACACACACATACACACATACATTGGCATACACACACACATACACTGGCATACACACACACATACACCTCATTTTCAGCCACCCTCCTCTCTTCCTTACCATTTCGTCGCAGGAGGGTGGCTGGGGATGATGGGCGTCGGCTGCATCCTCCTTCCCGCGCGGAGTAAAGTGGGAGGAAGTGACTGGATGTCATTTCCTCCCAGCAGCACTTTCCTCCGGCTGCATTTTTTTTTTTTTTAAAGGGGCCCGGTCGCGCTATTACAGCGCTGATCGGGCCCCTTAAGATAATAGGGCCCACTGGGTGGCCCTAAATGCTTGGGCCACCTGATGGGCCCCATCAGCGTGTGGGCCCCGGTGCAGATGCACTGGCGGCAGTTCCGCTGATACACGTGGGGCCCGTGTATCAATTGTCACGGTTGTCATGCCCTGATGGCGGCCCTGGGAGTTGACCTGTCCGACCAACTGCTGCAGCCATATTTAATAAGGAAGACCAGGGCATTTACTTAATGCACATGGCAACATACAATGCCTTTATTCTATGCTGAAATTAAATGCACATTTCTGTATTTTCAATTTTAGCCTGGCCTAGCAGCAGAAGGGTTGAGACAGATCACTTCTGTTTCCGCATCCCACCAACCCACAAAAAGAAGACAACCCAGAAAAGGTGAAGGTGGGGCGAGCTACCCAAGGAGCATAAGACAAACCAGTTTTTACTGCCCTGATTGCCCCTCTCAGCCTGGCCTTTGTATTGGCAACTGATTCAAAGTTTTTCACACCCAGTGCAAATAAGATGTAAAGTGTGTGTGTGTGTGTGTATATATATATATATATATATATATATGTTACAGTTAAAGTGAGAAATCAGTTAATCTGCAGATTAACTAGGTAATGTGCACATTAACTGATTTGCTCAGTTAAAGTGAGGAATCGAGAGTTTTCCGCACTTTACTTAGGTAATGTGCACATTAACTGCTTCCGTCTAGTTAAAGTGCAAAATGTTTCTTTCCCCTTGGGTAAAGAGGAAATTATTTATTACAAAAACGTCCTCGCAGAAACCTGTTTCAAACTTTTTCAGTGCAAAAGTTTGTTGCTTTCCCTTGGTAAAGAGGAAATTATTTATTACAAAAACATTCTCGCAGCAGAACCTGTTTCACCCTTTCAGTGCAGTTTCTGCAGAGTAGTTCACTTCTCGTCTGGATGCAAGTTCCTTTTCAATGCCCTCCATTCGAATTCTCAAAGCATAGACGCATGGCTTGTTGCTTCTCAGAGGGGGCTGGCTACTAACAATGCTGCTCCGTAAGTCTAAGAAACACTTCTCATTGAGGAGAATGAGACCAAGGAGAGGTCTGCTCATGGACTGCTGATTCCGACAGTCCTTCAAATATGATGATATTGAGAACAGTGGAGAGAATATGCTGGATCATTTCAGGGTGGTTGCAGCATAATGTGCAGGAAGGCGCTCACTCTCTTGTGGAGATGGGGGACTCCCCGTTTCTTACCAGTTCGGGATAACGGTTTTGAAGAGGAGGTATGAGACTATGTGGTTTAGAAAAGCAAGCAAAGAAAATGTTAGCAGTTTCTAATGCAAAGCAGCCAAATGTCGACGTAGGTGTCACTGTGAGAATTAAAGTACCCGAAGTGGACAGAGCAAAAACTGATGCCCACTCGATTTTTAGCTGTGGTTCTTAGTAAAACAGAGGATGGCTTTTATAAACTTGGTACTAAAACGTGTATTTTGAAAAACAATTGTATGCCAAATCGGAATGCAGTGTTTGCAGAGAGAGATTTTTAATGAAAGAAGATGTCCCTGCTGTAGAAATATATTTACATCAAACAGCAATCAAACAATCCCTTGGTACTAGGCAGTGTTTCCAAAAATGTGACTGCAAATCAAAAATGTACCACAAATAGGTGTGCTAGTCGCAAAAAACGATTGCTATGTAATTGAAAGTGTTGCCAATCTTTAGATTGTAATAAGTAAGCATAGTTTTATAATGTTTGTTTAGCAAATTCATATCCTTAATCGTTTGATTCTTTCTATTGCAGTTTTGTAAAAGAAACTTGCTTCTTTGTTGCTAAATAACATTGTTAACTTGATTCTCGTTTGATTGTACGAACTTGCTTCTTAAAACGTTGCTGTTGTTCCAGCAAAAGATCTTATTTTGCACTTTAACTAGTGACTAGTAGGTAATGTGAGAAATTAAACAATTTTCTGCACTTTAAACTGATCAGCCTAGTTAATGTGCACATCAACTGTACCATACACAAAAATAGAAACTCTTTCCAGGGCTCCATTTATCCATGTATTCAAGAATGTAGCCATAATCACGGTCTTAAAAATCCAATCTTTATGGAGGCGGAGCCTGGCCGGGAACCAAGATGGCCGCGTGAGCCGATAGCTCCCGAGACCCAGGCACAACACAGCAACCCACAGCACACTGGCAGAGCAGTAACCCCCACCAGCCAACCCCTTCACCTACCGGGTACCCCACAGCAATGGGCGGCAGCGGGAAACGCAGCCGTCGGTCGCCTCGCACTTCAGAGTGCAGGGGGACCCGGCGCCATCTTCCCCACGTGGCGCTGAAAACTCTGACTCGGAGCACAGCGAGCCCTCAGCTCCGGAGTCAGCACCGCTGACGAAAGCCGACCTCCAGCGGCTGCTTAAAGAGGCAGCAGCCGATATAAAAAAATCACATGGCAGCAGAATTGGAGAAACAGCTCCAGAGCCTGAAGGCAGAAATCACTGATCTGGGGGAGCGGACAGGGCAAGTGGAGCACAGAGTGGACGACATTATGGATACAGTGACCGCCCAGGCAGACACCATTTCAACTCTGCAATCACGCATAGAAACACTGGAAAACGGACTGGAAGACCTCAGCAATAGATCCAGACGAAACAACATCAGGATCAGAGGCCTCCCAGAAACCATCACTGGAGAGTTACTCCACTCCACACTGCAAGAGGTATTTCTGACCCTCTTACCTGACAAAACCCCACAAGAGCTATCCATGGACAGAGCCCACAGAGCCCCCTAGCCAAGACCACACAGCCCCCAGAGATGTGATAGTGAGGCTTCACTACTACTCCGTCAAGGAAGCACTTATGGCGGCGACCAGAAAAAGCCCGCCAAAACTGGACACCGCCACGCTGGCATTCTACCAAGACCTAGCACCCACCACGTTAGCCAAACGTCGAGAGCTGAAACCGCTCACGACGGCACTAACCCAAGCAGGCTTAGCCTACAGGTGGGGGCACCCC